TTTTTTGTCTGTTTTGATGGAACTATCATTGAATCTTGTCAGAATCCATAAATTAAGCAGTACATTCATGTGATCATATGTTGGATAAAAATCTTCGATCGCCACGCTGAATGCGTTAACAATTTCCACTGTCTCAGTTCTGCAAGAATGAATGATGAACTACAGAAGTTTCATTTGAATATATTTGTTGCTTTTAGAATAGGCCTCTCACAAGTAGAAGTTTTATAAGAGATCCTCACCTTCATGGTTGCTGGTTTTGAAACGACCTCTACTGCGCGAGCCTGGATCATTCATATGATGAGTAAATATCCCGATGTACAATACAAGATCAAAGAAGAACTGATACGTGCTGGTAATAACCAGGGTTTAACATTGAATCAGCTTCATTCTTTAGTTTATTTGGACTGTGCTATTGACGAAACGCTTCGATTTTGTTTAGTTGTTTATACAACTTTCCGTACGTTAACTGCTAACGATCGTGTTCCTCAAAGTCACCAATATACCGAAACATGTCGGTGTTACAATTGATTTTCCTTAATCAAAATATTTTCACTAATTTTCAGTTGGTTTTGGAACATTCTAACATAATTTTCGCTTAGACAATCCTACATTAAATCATTACTAATAAATTATTGAGTTTTTCATCAATAAACCAAAAACCAGAAGGTGTGAGTGAGTGTGAACAAAGCTGAGACTATCATTCATACACGCAAAGACCCCAATCACTATATTCACACCCACATCCTTCTTTCTGTGGTGTCACTCTGCTTGTTCTTTTGTTTGAAATATTACGATATATTTTGATATATTTATTTTTTGAATAAAAGAAGATAATATGATTTTACATAAAACAGAAAACACTAATTATCATGATCTTGGAGAATTTTTTAATTGATTCAACACTAAAGCTGGTTTTGATCAGGTTAAAATGGAATGTACTAACATATACTAATAGTTTCTCTGATTGCTTACTTCTTCACAAAATCTGCCGCCGTCCTCGCTTTTGCACAGCCACCAATCCTAACAAAATTTCATATCCAGCAACTACGGCGTCAACTACTGCTACCTTCGACCCTATGTTCATGACAATCTGTTCCACGATGCTCTCCAAGCCACTCATTCCTGCACAGCCCAAGATCATAACATCACAACCATTCTTCTCAACAAGTTCTCTGATAGCTTCACTCATAGCGGCATTCACAATATCTTGTCCAACGCATTCCAAACTAGCAGGAGATATATTTGTTGCTTTAATTCCTCCACATCGATGATCAAGTGCCAAATGATGAATGCTTTTAGCAAGCAATGGTTCCCATTCTTTATTCGTTGTCAAAATTCCAAATCGATGTCCTAAGAAAGTTGCATGCACAAGACTAGCTTCCATTATACCCACTACCGGTTTATCGGTATGTTCGCGCAACATTTCAACGAGAGGATGTTCAGAAAAACATGCAACAAGGAAACCATCATATTGTTCAAGAAGAGGAATGAGATTGTGAATACATGCAGCAGCGGATATAACTTCAGTTGTAAACGATGTAATTTCAGAGGGTGCAACTGAGGAAGCAGTGAATTGATCCACTTGATTGGAAGAAAAATTTTCTAAGCCGATGAGAGCTTTCATTGCAGTGGATGTCATAGAGGATGAACTATTTGGATTTATCAATAAAATTTTTGTTTGTGTATTTGAAGGTGAAGCTGGCGAAGCAAACATTTTACTCTACGTTTGTATTGTAATGTTTTTAATTCTATTTGTGTGTGTATGTTTTCTTTCACAAAGAGAATTATATTGACAAGCTTCCTTCTTTTTCATCTTTCTTCTGATAAAGGTTACTTTTACTGTCTTTCTACTTCATAAGTGTAGGATTTATTTGCATCAAATGAAAAGATAAAAAATGTGAATAGAAAAGTTAATATAGATAAACTTATACAACATTCTCGAACTTCAAGGGGAAAGTAGTAAAATGTCGACAGAGTATGGATGCGAAGTGCGTGTCTGTGTAGGTTCTGTTGTGAAGAGAAGACAAGCACCAAAACGTAGACCTACCCATCTACACCCACACTCAAATACCATATAACACTCAAGTAGAAATGCAAAAGCAACTCTTGTCAATTAATCTTTCTACATATGCATGCAATTGCCTTTCAGATGTAAATAACACCGACGAGCAAACAAAACAACAAAAAAAAGTGTTACTTTGCCGATGGTTGTGCCATGCTCTTTTTTTCTTGTTAAATTCAATGTTAAATCATAGCTGCCTTCACAAGTTTTGTATTTAATTATATTGCGAAATGCATCTTTCTTCAGTTTCCTTTGGCTAAAATGCATTATTGTAACACATACAAATGCCCTTATTTGTACGTACTTTCTGCCATATTTTGACTATTAGTAAAACAATAGATACAGATAAATGATAACAAGCGAACGTTTTCTGATGAGTCCGCGCATATGAAACAAGATTTGTAATTAAACGTTTCTCAAAAATAAAGCTCATATAATTATATTCACTTTTGAGATTGCATCTCGAATAAACTGAAATACTGCGACGGTAGATGCATAATTGAACGTTTCTATTGTTTTCTCTGTTCAAAACCTTTTTTTTCAAAAAATTGGCAAATCGTTAATAGGATAGCAAGTTTTACGGAAGATTTGTTCGCCTATGATCAAACTGTCCCTAAAAACATGCTGCATAATAAGATGCATTTTTTCACTTTCTTCCAATTGAAGTAATTCCGAATTATAACGCTTTTTGGATTGTAGTTATTGCCATGATCTTTCATTCGAGGAGTTACCATTGATTTATCTCAATTCAATCCAAGTGAAATCTTATGCTGCATGTTTCTATTTTGTTCTTAATGCTACGCTCCGTGATCTTGATTGAAAGAAGCTCAAATCATGTCTTCTCTATTTATGACTTTCTCTCACTGCTCTCATTCATCGTCTACCTATTTATTTGAGTATTTATCAAGGAGTTAAACTTAATTCAATCAACGATTATATCAAAGCAAAAAAAAGTATGCTTGGTACAGTTTTTCATCATCTAGACCATCGATCAAAATTCTTCAATCGCTAAAACAGGATCAAGAACGATATTTACAATAGATATTTACTATGGAAGAGATACTTGACAGAAAAATTATTCTTTAAGAAATAAAATGAACTTCTTCTTCTTATTGGTACATATTTCCATGGAATAGGGTATTTTGATAATGAAAATGATCTTCATTTGATTTAGTTGACAAAAATCAATCTACCATATTTTCTCATTCAACTTGTACTCAATCTAGTTATAATCACTGCATCAATCCATTCAATAGGCAAGCCAATAAAAATCCAGTGAAAAAAGTAGCAACATCAGTGATTGATATCTATAAAAATTCTAAAATCGAAGCACACATTGCCTTGTTTCAACCACAGACGCTTATTAGTTTAAAAATATAGGAACTGACTGTTCGAAATGTAAACGTGGTAGTCAGCCAAGCTATTTTAAACAAGCGATACTAAAAGCTCTGGTTAGATGACAACCAGGTTGGTTCAGAAGATGCTTCACACTTATCTCATAACGTCTCAGGTAACATAATATTGAGGAGATTGTCACTTTTCTTTGATAGCAGTTCTAATAAAGCTGTTCGTTTTTTGACACGAACAGTGGCATACAAGGTCAGAGTGTACAATGTTTTGCTGAAATACTTTCGGCAAGTACAACATTTGTTGCTTATCTCGATTTATATAATAATGAAGTTGAAGATGAAGATGAAGCAATGAAAATGTTTACCAACACGTTAGCTTATTACAATAAAGCTCTCAAAGCGTTATATATATTATCATGAATAAATTTAATGATTCAAGTGTGAATTCTATCATCGCCATGTTTGCTCGAAACCAATCATTTAAAAAATTTCCACTTTTGCGACTGCAGTGTGTATTTTCATGTGAGATCGAGGCTTTGAGTAACAGTAGCCAGAAAATGTGGAATTTCATTTCATATATAAACAGTGCAATAAATTATTTGTTTACTTGTATTAAGTAGTTAGCGAATAGAAGAATATTAAAATTAGAAAATTGTATCATAATGTCGCATAAGTTGGTAAGAACTCGAGTAGTAAAGAGGATAGAATCGTATGAAAGAAAATAGTTATAAACCAAAAAAAAGCAGATTAAATCAAACTTTAGTCTTTTTTTCTCGAAGATTCCCTTTGATAGTACTTTTAGTTAAATAGTTCGGTACGAAACAGTATTCTTTGGTATTTTGAACATATTCGAAATGCAATACAACTATGTAATCAAAGAACTTTGGTTAACTAGAATAGAATCGAACAAATTTTCCTTCTGATCCAATGTGTCTGATAAAGCGTTTCTCAGGAACATAAAAAACTTGCAAAAAATTGCATTGATTACAATTAACATTTTCATATCATTTGCCTTAGTATGGTATAAAATGTATAAAAATCATGAGATTATTTTTCATTTTATTTATTCTGTTTTCTGAAGGATTTTGTCGCACGCGTGTGAGGCATGCAAAATCCCATAGGAAAGGTATTGCAGATTGCAAACTTATATAGAGATTAGTGTATCGTCTTCAGATTTCAGTTTTAGTCTAAATTATCAATTTGGAGATGGCCCAAAGATCATTTTTTAGAAAGTATGCATGAAGAATATTTTGGCACTTTTGAACCTCAATATTTTTGGAGAAATTTTCATATGAAAAAAGAAAGCTGCATAGAACATTCAGTTTTATTATTTTACGAGAGATTTTATGCTTTTTCGTCATATCTCTCTGTCCACTTTATTTTCGTCGTTCTCTTATTCTATTCTTGTTCACATTTTTTATGATTTAAGAAGACTTACGCTATTCATTTTTATTGCTATCATTTCTGTTTTCATGCAATGCTAATCAATATTATCATCGAAATATAACTCTCGAAATATACCATTATCATAAAATGACCTCTCATCATTTCCATACATAGTACGCTGAAATATTTTACGATTCTTTTCCCATCTAGAAGTACATGAGGGTGTGGGCGAAGAGAAGACCTACACCCGCCTACACCTTGCGAGACATCATTAGAACAACATTTGTTGATCATTATATTTTATTTCATTTGATTAAATAAGTAAAGAATAATGAGACAAGAGATTTGGTTTAATATCAAAAATTCTCCGATTAGTTGTTAGTATACATTGATGTTTCAAAAAGTTAGAGTTGATTTCACTATTTAATAATAACCTCCATAACCATACGAATGACCATAGTGCGGATAACCTCTGTGTCCACCAACTCCGGGAAAACCTCCAACGATTTGACCATATGTTGGATTTGGATTTCCACCTATTGCATTGTCAAGAAATTCACCTATAAAACCTAAATTAAAATCATTAATTAAGGAACAGTCAGTTTTTACATATTTGAGATTTTCAAAATTATAAACGAAGTAATAAAAACTGTTCATACGTGTACAGACTACCACAATTGTCTAACAAAGTCTCAATGGACTTCGGCGTCTCAGCGACAAAAAATGATTCGAACAGAAAAAAAACCATATACGAAAAAACTATAAGAAAATATATTCATTAATTGATTCTCCAATGTAGAGTTCCTAGAAAGATAAATTGCCATTATTTTGACACGTAAAACGTACATGTTCTCATTTAATTCAGACTGTATGAAAGCATAAATCAAACAATTGTCTATAAAGACAAAAAACTGGAAATAATAGGAAAATGTCTTGATGAACTTCTGTAAGATTGATGAATGTCAACGAAAAAATGAGTCGTAGACATCTCATTTTTTTACAAAGTTATTTGCTCGATCATTTCATATAGTTTGCACAAAATTCTATTTGTACGTTCTAGATTTCAAGAAAAGACTATTGGCTTAGCTTTCTCAAAATCGTGTCTTATAAAATTTGATAATCATGTTATATTCACATATTCTTCTTGCGTAGATTTTTCTCTATTCAATTTTTTGTGAATGTGACTGTCAAAAACAATTCAAACCTTGTTAAATAGTTTTACTTGTCAATATACATACTTATCTATATAGAATGTAAGTGAAAAATAAGTCTTATTCTAATAATATTAGTGATAGCATTTAAATATCCTTACCATTTAATCCGCCCGGAACATGTCTTTCAATCCACGAATCAGATTTTAATTCTCTAGCCATATGAGTGTTGTAACTATACATATTTAATGTATTAATAGATGAATTAACTATAGACGAATATCTCTCTTTTGATCAATGAATAAAAACTAATTTCATGACATCTATTTATATGCAATTTTTTTGTTCTCGTCATTATATGAAAACTTTATGTATGAGATAGAAAATGATGAGTAAACGTGAGATAAAATTTCTCAATCATAACAACACAATAAATACTTAGTCACAATGGTGACGCATAAAAAAAAAGACACGTCTCGTGATTGTCTTTTCTTTTCATTTCATTTCTGTTGATTAGAACGCATGTGCATATGCCTACGCTAAATGATTTTGTTTCTTATTTCTATTTGATTCCTATATGAAATAATATTCAAACGTTTTCATTTCGTTCGCTTCATTAAGCAAATAGGTCCTACATATGAATAATATATGCATCATGTTGTTATTTCACTCTGCTACCTTTGTCCAGTCAAAATTATGAATGTTTTGATATTATTCATATTTAACAAAATTAGTTATTCTTATTTATTCATCAAAATAAAGTGAA